TAAAAAGATATCCTGAGATTTTGACTAAATTATTCAGCTATGTTTTGCCATTGATTGAAAAATGTCCAAAAGTGTCCAAACCACGAAACTGTGAAAATCAACCCAAATCGAACATGTGTCACAAGTGTAGAAAATGGATCTTACAAAATGATTTCTAAGTCAAAAAATAGATACAATAAATTAAGGAATTTAACAGGTCATGATTTATTTTCTAGACCTAAAAATTATTTCCTTTCTATTAAAAAATTTCTGACATTATCAAAAACTTTAAATTTATAAAGAGAAGATTTTTTTCCATGCATTCATATCCTATATAACAAATTTTACAAAGGAAATAAGAAAAGTTAGACAAGTAAAAACTTTTGAGATGGCTTTTAAAAATAGTAAGCACTAACATTATTTTTTGACATCCAGTTTATATTCTAATCACAATAGAAAATGCCCTACCAATCAATATCTTAAAAAATGAAAACATTTAAAGTGGAAATCATTTATATTAAAGTTAGGTATTTATATACTCTTAAAAACCAAATAGCTTAACTATTCAAACTTACTTTGTTTAATTTTCAATACAACATTTTATCTTTGGTAAAGTCTAAAATAGTCTTATATAACTTAATACGTATACCAATAATAGTTTTAGAATCTTAACAAAATGGCCGATACAGACTATTCAAGTTAACAAATATCTATCAAATACATACATTATATATGCAATACTAAAATTGGCATGTATATGTATACCAAGAGCAAAAGCAGCAGAGTTTAACATTCCAACAATAAATATCTATTGTATGACTTTTCTTAATACCACATCACTAAATACCTTAAGATGGTTTTATTTCTTCAAATTTGAGTTACACCTTTAAAACTTCTACTGTAAAAACATTGAGAGATAACATTTGGAAGGTTATATTTAAATCCCTATAACAACAAAATCTAAAAATCAGATTCATGAACATAAGTAAATTCTCACTGTTTTCTACAATAGATAGATACAAATACTACAAAGTCTTACATTTCACATTGATGATTTAAACATAAAATGATTTTCAAATACTTTTAAAGACTTTTAAAGAAAGGGTGACAGATATCAAACTCAACACTTTTGAAAAATCACAGCAATAGCTCACAATATGTTAGAGCAAATGAATTAATATTTGCTTTTAACTCCTTTACTACTATAGTAAAAACCAGTGGATGTTCCCTACTGTTTAACATTAACAACAATAATAAAGCAGACTGTGGGCAGAGAACTATCTGGAGGCAAATTATGACAGCTCCTTGCTTCCTGTTAAGCTCGGTCTTTGGCCAAGAGAGTATTTCTAAAGATATTGAACACTTAAACATTCTGATAGGACTTATTATGAGGATTATTATAGGCATCATTATGTTCTAATTAAAGGTTACCAAGTGCTTCTTAACCTTTGAAGATGAAACTCTGCCTTGTTTTCAAGGTAGTTTCATA